TTAGTTATAGCCGACCGTTGGCCATTCCTCGGCCACCTGAAAGCGACCAGTTCCCGCGAAGAAGGGTCTGGCTAGGATATCATATTACAAAGAGTACAAGCTCGAGGGTAGCGACTGGCCGAGCTTTGGGCAGATCAAGGATTTTACTCGATGGTCGCGAAAACCTCGCTCTCGGACTTCGCTGCATTTTGACTACAAGCCTTAACGCTACCTGGGGTCATACATTCAAAATTCGCTAAGTTAACGTGAGTACTTACGCTCTATTTTCTTGTCTATGATTGGTGGATTTTGCTTGAAAGGCCGTCAATGATTGGCTGATGAACTTACGATCTCTTAACTTTTTTTTGAAGGTATGGGCCCTGATGACTTCGGATCGCGCCTCTTCTGCAACTGGTGGTTGAGGGTACGTGGTCATACGTTAGTATGATATATTTTTCTTCATTTGTTACGAAATAGTTTAAACTATTTTGAGACTATGATATTCATCTTTAAATATGCCTCTACTCTTTTTATAATGTTAATGATCGGTTTTAAATCAGACATTTTCCTGAGTCCAGTGTATTTTATATACGTGTTTGTGAAATGATCAAACTGACTAATTGAAATTGTCTTATAAATTCAAATGAATTTAATTTCATGTACAAATTTTGTTGGCAAATGTTATTTCCAAAAGTGGTACTCTTGTTCAAAAGCCGTCTGGTAGAAGAACATATTTTACTGCTGATGTTTAAGCTTGTTGTGCGTATAGTCTTACATTATGGAAGCCACTAGCTCGTCAACTCGGCGTTGCAGTATGGCTGCATGACACTTGGGGGTCAGGTTTTCCATTTCACCGCAAAAACGAATATTTTCATATCATCGCATCAGTCTGGTCATCATCATTCGCTGTGGAAGTTTATAAATGCTGTAAAAAATATGGCTCCGATGTAGGTAGGCTACCTAACTTGTCAAACACGCATTGGTAGGGGAGTAGCAAATGATGCAATGAAAGTGGCTTTCATCGCATCATTTGCTGGTATAAAATACTACTAAGTATTGTATTATTACACAAGCTTCGAAAACTTAAAGAAAACACAAAAAAAATTTAATCGTTTATACCAGATAAATCTGGAGATCTCATGCCACCTATAAGAAACGCAGATTTAAACTGCTTCTCCAATACAGATTTTTGGGAGTTGGCTGCAATGTTTTCTTATTTACATGTTTTAAGCCTATATAGCGCTGTATGAGACTTATCGTGTGGGAACGATACATGGATGTTAAACTATATATTTTAATAATATTACTAGAAATTAATCGCCGTGTTTTTTCGATTGTAATTTCTTTAATTTCTTTGTATTGTTTCATTTCATTCTATTTCAATTTACAGGCACCCTTGGGAAAGAATGTCGAAGTTTCGGTTGAAGAATATTATGCTGGCCAAAAAGACTGCAACAAAGCCTACGCTGTCATCAGTTTAGATGGTGAAACCTACGACAGTGATACAATGCAACGTGTGTGTAGCGGCGGTAACACCACAACGCGGTCGACTGACAACCGAATGAACATTATTGTCAACGGTAAACACAGCGTTCGACCTCGATTCAGGGCTTCCTACAAGGTTGTTTAAGTTTCCATTATACCGGCCGTCATCTGATGAATTAAAAAATCCGGCAAATTGTAAAACTAAAATGGAAACAGATCTACTTCTCTGAAAAATCCCTAATTGATTGCAGGGTACAATAAAAATTATTTCGGTCTTTGGGCGTTTTTTAGCTAGCCTTGTATGTGTTGGAAATTTTCAATATCAAGTATGGAAGAAATTACAATAAACTCACCAGACATTACCGGAAAATACCAGTAATTACCAGAAAATACCAGTAATTATCAGAAAATACCAGTAATTACCAGAAAATACCAGTAATTACCAGAAAATACCAGTAATTACCAGAAAACAAATTCAGTATTATTTAGCTAGAAGTCCAGATTGAAATCATAAACACTTTTTGGACGGATTGTTCTTTTACGGGAGCTTGCTTCCCGTCAAGACGAGGCACCTGCAAAGGATCTAATTTGAACCCGTCTTCCCAACCTTGAACTGTATGTAATAGCGACAATTTTGACCAGACGTATAGAGCTGAGGGTGATACACGTTCATCTTTATCTGCACGATGCCCCTCTTCTGTACCAAATCAATGCAGTCATCAAGTACTCTGTCAGTTTGAATAAAGTACCCCGTCAGTATATAGTAATACAGCAGTTTGTACATACCCCGTCAGCCTGCCCGGTCCCCATCCAGTCTTCACGATATCTCTGCGGTTCGCCCGTTACCTCCAATCTTTAAGAAACCTTTGCATCCTGAGTGTTTCGCCTCCTTCCTGCACGTGACCTACCCAGTTTGCATGCTATGCCTGCAGTGCAGTCGACACGCAAGTTTACAGGCTATCCTCGAACGTTCCCTCTACCGACTGGACGTTATCCCAGCAGGCGTCACGTACCACCTTCAGCCTGCCCGTTACCCTCCAATAGGAAATAAAGCAAATAATAATGAAGTGGTGGAGCTTCATAAAAATTGCGTTTATGAAATGGATTCCGCGTATAGTTTAAACGTCGTAAACGAAATCGAAAAAAATGATTAGTTTTGAAGATATTTTATGCTCACAGCAAATTTGAAAATCACTCACAGGAATGCTAGTCACTTCTCCGTATATCCGTCTAACTTGCAGATGAAGCCTTAATTGAACATTTCATTACGAGCTAAACACCACCTTTAGGCGATTAGTAATGTATATTCGAAGTTACCTACTAAATTGGTCAGTAGTTTAGAAAATATGTTCACTGCAAATTTTGGCTCGTACTGCCGTATAAGTTAGAAACGAAAGCGAAATCGAAAAACAATAACAACGACATCACCGTTAGGTCCTAATGAATGCAGTGCAAAGTTTCATCAAGCTGTGTTTATTTTCTGCGAGATATTTCATGATCACTAAATCCTGGAGACCGGCTGAGTGGTGGCCCTACGAGACAGATGAAGCGTTTAGCCTGCAGAGCGCTATTCTCAGGCACGCGTGCAGTTGTGTAATAAGTGTTCATATGACTTATTTCAACTCTATTATCGGATGTTTTCATCGTTTCAAAGTTTAATTATTTATTCCGATTATTTTTTCTTGATTTTAGGACCGCAGAGTCCCTCTTTTTGTATTTGAATGAGGGTTACTAATGGACGAGTTACCAATTAAATGGTTAATACCGTGTCTATGGTAGGAAGGGTAATAAAAGAAGAATAACTGATTCTTTTAGTTTATTCAGGCAGGTGAGCGTGGGACTAATTAATTATGAGAAATGGGGTGATGGCGAGAATTGTAACGGGTAAAGAAAACAGTGCGAGTATATAGGGCGATAATGAAGTATAGATATGAGACCATGTAAAAATAAAATGTGTACAGGCGAGACCTGAGAAAACAATGTACGTTAGTTGAATGATCGGAAAACTTAACTCGTAGGATGTACATTGGTTTATAACGGATTAAATATTCAGATTGGTTCGCAGGATCATGAATCACCATCACAATAAGATTCCAGTTAAAATGCATCATAAATATTAGGATTAACAGGAGCACTTTGCAGATTTTGGTTAATTAACAAACATCGCACAATTCAATAAGAAACCCTAACTGGAATTTTAACACAAGAATTACATACAAAGTTTATTCATGACCTACATTACTTCAAATTTTTTCAAATTACTCAATAAATCAAATATCTAACTTACAGATTATACATGGCGTTGTTATAATGACCTAAATAATAATAACATTGACACTTCTATTAATGAAAATATAAATCTTTAGTGTGGTTTAGCATAATGATTTTAGCTTCTCTAGCCCTTGTAAGCTGAGTCGTCATGAAAACATGACGAAATTAAAAGCAATCTACTTTTAACAACAAAACGAATACACATCCATATGATATACATGTAACAATTATTAAATTTTTAGCACTGATCACTACTCAAGAGTGAATTGATTGATTTTTAACACAACATACGAGATATTACTGGGCACCTCTGTAGTAGCGCAGCAGAAGTAGAATAGGCTTGCCTGAAGCTGTGAACCTTAACGATGTTGCCAGACGGCTTTGGTTGAAATTTGCGCTGCGTACTAGAACTATCGTGAATGACGTACTAATAATTGTCATTCCCAGAACTTAAAATTAATAAAATATTTATTGGACATTATATTTACTATAACTGGCCATGTTTTACTGGCTTATGTTGCTTGTTATGTTGTCTTTTAAATACTGCGTTTGTCGTTGACCTTTAGACGAGGTTCACGGGTGAGAATTGTACATAATTAAAACATCAAGCTGTATATAAAAACCGTTTTATTCGAATAATACTCCCGAAATCACTACATATTCTTCTCGTCTGGCTCAAACTAATCGGTCTCTTGGCAGTAAAGTTAGATTTTTTTCTGGGGTAATTTATAAGAAAGACTATTCTAAGAAAAGTATATGAAAGGACTGTAATGAAGTCTAATGCAAATTTCTACTACTTGCTGTGAGACCACAAAGATTAAGTAGGACCGACCCTGATGTGGACGTTGAATTGGTTACAGCCATCAGATACGATGCCGATCCCGTCTTGCATACTGGGTCCTTTCTTTTAGGATTCTGTCTCAGTTGTCAGGGTGAGTTGAGTGCGATAGTGGTAAAATTTAAATATGACTACATAGTGAAATATTGTGATTTATGTGATTATATTGATTTGTTCTTTGTAAGTATTTACTTTTGGTTTCTGTTGTACGATCGTGCGTTATTCTCAGATCTCAATGCTCTAGCTCTCTTCTCGCATTTTGCTCTCCTCGCACTTTAGCATCCTCCGCATTAAATTTGTTAGATCGCGTAATTCATATGCCGCACCTCTGCAAAATCGTTAGTGTGATTTGTTTAGTTTTAATTTGCCGGTTATCATTAATAAATTTAAGAAGTTTGTTTGAGTTAACTATCCGCTCGGTCCAAGCTTTTGCTGATCAGGCCAATAGGGAAGTTGCATTTAATTTCCGGTCATTGGTGGACGTGACAATTAGACCATTCGAACTTCTGAGGTGACGCGATCAATTGGCTATTCGGGGATTCAAGATTAGTTCGTCACAAGAACTAAAGCAGAAATCGTTTCATTCATAATTCTACGAATCAAAAAGCAGGTGAGGAAATACCATATATTCCCTCGATGTAGGATAAAGCTCAGTAGGTATGGTGGTTGAGAGCCTGACAATCAAAATGGCGCGTGACGGCTAACTATAGATCTATTTTCTCCTCAGAACTTGGGCCTTCGATACTCCGCCGCGTATGCAGCTACCTTCTCCTAATTGCAACGTGAATTAAATTCAGTGTTTTCCGAACAAATCCCAGTTTACTAACCTGCCACTGTAACAGCAGTTGGACCAATATTTTTGCGTCGGGGTCTAAACAGTGAAGCTAAAAAGACCGCGTGATGTGATGAAGTGCAAGTGAATGTGGCGGCTTGGATGCCACCAGACGGCAGCAGCTGAATCCAAGTCAAGTCGATCAAATAGTTATCTATGTCCACAACGGACCCGTGCACTAAATTTAGAGCCAAAATGAACAAGTGCCGGTAAAATGGGCCACTCTAAGGGGATTGCATTACCGATCAGCGTTTTCTGATGAAAATCTGAGGGCACAACAGTTAAGCCGAAAAGCTGAATTCGGTATTTAGGCAGTCAGCCGTACGCTGTCGCGAGGGTTGTTTTGATTTCCACGCCACTAGGACTGTAACCGCCTTCGCATGCAGCAATCATTTCCTAATTCATAATTCGAACAATTTTCGTAAACATTTCCCAATATTTCTAATAAATTTTCATTTCCTAATTTTCAAAGTCGATTCGATAGTTCAGCTAGTAAGTACAGACGAGAAGAATTGAGCTTCTATTTCTCTCATCCTTTCGCTCATCGATTTTAGTCAATTCTTGTCATTTAATGAACAGCTGCCGCCAGTAATTCAATTCAATTGAAAAATTATTTTATCATTCATCACTCCTCATTAACTTCACAAATTCTGAAAAAATTGAAATCTGATATCTCTTTCCTTTGATCCTCGTCACGCTCTAATTTGACATTGATCAGCGCACCTGTTTTCAAGGACCTAACCAACTAAAATACTTTCTTTTTAATTTTTCCAGCAATTTTGTGCTCATGATTTTTTCCAGAATGCTCACGATGCAGAATTTACATAATTATATTAGCGTTCATAAGTGAAATATGCAAACTTCAAAAATCCTTACATATATCTCTCTTTGCAGATTTTTCGTAAACTTTTTCAAATTTATAAGTTTCAACTTCCACTCTCCTGTGAGTTTTTGGTCGTTCAACGATTTAATTTAAAATGTGCATGCAGTTAAGCCAGTTCTCACTTATATTATATCCTCGCATTAAAATAATTCTTTGTCTTATCGTTGCATGTGCGTCACGCTCGAGCTCCAGCTGCAACCGAGCGAATAAAATTGAATGCATCAATGGATCAAGCTCATCAATTTTAACATAAATCACTTTGATAAAATGTTCCTGGTTATCAATGTGAACATTTCATTAGCTTGAAATCGAATAAAAAACTAGTGAATTCGTTGTATTACAATTTAATTTTTTCACACGTGTCCCACTTAGATAGCTGCCTTGTCGTTCTGCGCAATTCTGTTACCTTGAACCAAAAAACTCCAACTTTTAACAAAAATCGTTAGAAAAG